TATTTGAACTAAATAAACATTTGTAAGGCCTTATCTTTAGTCTTTAGTGGGAATATCTAAGAGAATCGATTGAAATCATCCAAAAACAGAATATAATAGCGAAAACTATTCATAGAAAGAAAAGGTGAAAGACCCCACAAATCAGTATGAATAAGTTCTAGTGGTTTAGTGGCGCGAGAGAGAGACAACTTAAAAGGCAAAGCATGTAATTTTCTAAATTTGCAAGGTTCACAAAACAAAGGATGATGAGCATCCTTAAAATCAACCTTCAAATTACAATCATGAATAATTCTACTTAATACTCTCTCATTTGGATGACCAAGCCTACAATGCCATAATTTTCTACCAGTACTAGAACTATTATCTGTTGCTGTAATTGCTTCTTCATCTGCATTCAGCAAGAAATGGTCCTCCTTGTTGTCTACTTTGTTACTAAGCACAGGAAACATTCCCTTAATTGGCTTCTCCCCTTGCAGTCGTACTTTCTCAGTCGCTTGTTCCTTCACAAACACACCAAATTTATTAAAAATGATATCAACATCATTATCAGCAGCCATTTTGTAAACACTCAATAAATTTTTATTAGTTTTAGGAGTATATAAAATGTTACACAATTTAATTGAGGCATTGGGTTGATTTTGTAAAGTAGAGGATCCAGTTCATTCTATTCCCATTTTCTGTCCATTACCAACAATAATGCGGACCTTACCAGTAGTAACGGCTAGATTATCAATGCAACTAAGATCATTAGTCACATGACTTGTAAGACCACTATTCAAAAGCCAAGCATCATCAGTGATAGTCTCAGGAGTAGCCCAATAAGCATTAAATTCAGAGTTAGGATTAGTGGAGCTGTTACCACGTTTACTGCCACCAGAACCCATAAAGGACTTATCATATCGATAAAAACAAGTCTTAACAGTATGGCCCCATTTCTCATAGAATTGGCATTGAGGTTTATCATTATTTTCTCCATTACTTCTGTAATTGTTATTGAATCCACCTCTTCCATGCTAACTACAGCCTCTACGGCCTCCACGCCAATGACCACGTCCAAAAGAGAAATTCTTAAAGTGAGCATAGTTGGCAAAATTAGTTGAAATATTAAGTTGAGAAAACTGAGTCAACTAATCCAGACGACTCTCAAATGTTAGAAGAGTAGATTGAAAATCAATCCAAGTGATATCATCCAAGTCCTTAGACAGCTGGACAACAATTACATTATATTCACCATCAAGACCAGCAAATGTTTAAAGAATGAGATCTAGAAGAGGAATGGGATAGCCTGCAATAGCGAGCTATTCAGACAAACTCTTCATTTTGTTTAAGTATTCCTCCATACGAGACGTACCCTTCCTAGTATGTTGAAGTTCAGCCCAAATCAACAATACTCGAGCCTTAGTTTTTGACCCAGCAAGCTGCTTAGCAACATTCCACAAACCAGTAGATGAGGATACTTGAGTCATCTGTGACGACACTTCTAACGTCATCGTGTTAAGAAGCCAGCCGAAAAGCAATGAATCAATTGCAACCCAGTCTTCAAAGACTAGATTGAGACATGTCTCACCATTCTCAACAAGAAATTGTGGTGGACAGGGCTTTATACTAGTGAGAAAGCCATCGAGCTTATATCCCCTTATAATAGGGAGAACATGAGTCTGCTAAATCATGTAGTTAGTCCTGTCCAACTTGACAGAACAAATTTGGTTCAAGGATGTAAGAGCAACAGGGTTCTTTGCTAGATTTGCGGTGTTAAGAAGTGAAGAATGCAAACCCGATGGTTGCTTGTTAGCAGAACCAGTGGAAGGAGATTGTTCATCTGCGGACACCATAGCTGCCAACTGAATCGCTCTAATACCAAGTTAAGTATTTGGAAAGCTGAATATTGGCTTCTTGTTATTAATCAATGACAGGTGTTACAATAAATAGTTGAGGCATTAAACCCTAGAATAGATAGGATCTGTACACGTATATAGGAAGATTAACATATATACAGATAAAGAATCAGTCTAGACAAAGTTGGGCTTGTATTGTTTAATATTAGGCCTGGGTTTATTGTTTTCAGTCTTTCTACGTTGGACCTGATCTTCATTTGTCTCAACACATAGGCGCAACAAAGGATGACAAGCACAACCAAAGAATTGAAGATTAGGATAGTTAGGAGATTTGTGAAACAACTTGGTAAAAGGTGTAGCAGAGTTAATAGCAAAGGATGGAAGGAGACTTGTGACATAGACAACAGTTAAAAAAAAACATCTTCCCAAAATTTTAAAGGTAAACTAGATTGAGCAAGTAAAGATAAACCAATGTCAACAATGTAACGATGTTGTCGTTCAATAGTACCTATATGATAATGAGCATAAGGACAAGAGTAACAATGAAAAATACAATTTGTAACGAGATAAGGATCAAAACAGTGAAACTCACCCCACCATCAGTTTGTATAGCTTTGGTTTTTGTTTGAAGTTGATTTTCAACAAGAGTTTTATATTGAATAAAGACAGAAAAAGCATCTGATTTCCTGGTAAGAGGATATATCTCGCAAAAATGAGAATAATGATCTACAAATGAAATGTAATATTAATGACCATTAGTGGACAAGCAAGAAGCAGGACCCCAGAGATCAATAGGAACCAATTCAAGAGGTTGAGAATAAGTAGAAACAGAGGGAGGGGAGTACAGTTTATGAGCTTTTCCCAAGCAACAAGCAGAACAAAGTTCATTAGTACTTTTATGGGGAAAAAAAAAGGAACATTACAACTCTTTAAAAGTCTGTGAATCTGCGAGTAAGGAAAATGAACCAATCGCTGATGTCATAAATCAAGAGAGGGAGGTGTTCGTGATCCATGAAGTGCAGAAGGTAATGTATTAGAAAACAAACTAGTAGTATGAGACGACTTATCAGTAGGCTGACTAGAAGAAACAGAAGGGAAGAAGGCGTACAAGCCATCTGCTCTACGATTACCTTGTCGTAGGACCTAATTTGGTGCTTGTTCAGATTTGTTACAACACCAGAAAGGATGAAATTCAAAAAACACATTGTTATCCAGAGTAAGTTTAGGGGCACCTAATAAATTGTTAGCAATAGAAGAAACATGAAGAAAATTAAGAGATACTGAACGATGAGGCTGTAAAGTAGAAAAACTAATATGACCTTGATGAAGAATAGGCAAACTTAAGCCATCACCAACATGGAACTGTCTCGAACCAGAGTAGGTAGAGGCTCGTGTTAGATGGGATACATTAGGTGTAGCATGATGCGTTGCTCTAGAGTCAGCAATCCAAACATTGGAAGCACAAGGATCAGCAAATGCGTCAAAAGAGTAGTAAGCAAAAGGATCAAAATGGTAAGATGGTGGTGGAGGAGTAGGAACAGAATATGGAAAAGTGGTGCAGTATGAAGATGAGCTTGGGGACGAGTAGAGGGAGTATAATAGGTCTGATCAAACCTGTGAAAGCAGAACATAGCAGTGTGACCTGGTTTGGTACATAACTAATACACATGGCCAGATCAATTCTAATTACAAAAACCATAGCCTCTTCCACGACCTCTGCCACGGCCGGAGCGACCAAAATTGCCGCCGCCTCCACCATGAGAAGCATTGAACGAAGGACGATAATGTTGTTGTGGTGGATGAGATGAATCATTCTGAGTAGATGATTGTGCAATGTTAGCCATAGGCTTAGACATATAAGCAAGAGCAGCCTTTAAACAATCTCACTTAGAGAGAACGGATCTCTCTGAGAATTCACAGAAGAAACAACTGACTCATAGGAATCGGGGAGACCATCCATGATGATCTTACACAATAGTTAATAGAAATCAAGGCGTCCACTAGGGCTTTGACGTGCAATACAAATACAGAAATAGATCTATCATCTTTCTTAGTATTTCGAAGCTCCTTCCTGTACAGAGAAATTTTTGCTCGAGGGTGAGCAGTGAAGAAATCAGAAATTCATTTCCACGCAGCGTGCAATGTGGTACAACCAACAAGGCGAGGAAGCATAGACTCAGAAATGGCTGATTGAAGCTAAGAGAAAAGCAACTGATCTTGTTTATACTAGTCAAGATATTTAGAAGAAACTTTTCCAGCATCCATATCGGCCTCAGACTTGAATTGAGGCAGCGCACGACCAACTTCGAGAAATGGAAACAATTCGTGACCACGAACAGCAGATTTGATCTGCTGGCACCACATGAGGTAATTCTTTTCATCTAATTTGGAGAAAATTGTGTGATTGAAGGCAACGAGCTTACCGGCACAACCAGCTTGGAAGAATTGGCAGATTGAGAGGAAGAATCAGAAGCCATGGTTCAGCCATGAAGGCTCTAGTACCGTACAAGAAAACAGAGAAGATCAAAAATATAATAACAATAAAGTGAAGAAAGTGTATATTGTATTGATTGAGTTGAAAATGTACAGGGGATCTGAATATATACAAGTAGATGCAAATAGTGCGATACGCACGGAGGCAATTATACTGTACACTAGTGATCCAACAACTTAACAAATACATAACAGAAAATAATAATTATTAATTTATTTCCAATAAAGAATACACTATTATCGTTATTTACTTTAATCGATTCAGTTCAATTTGATTTCTAAACATCTTAACGACAGTAACTAATCTTATTCAATAGAGAAGAACATGGAGTTGAAAAAAAATAATCGGAAGACGTTATTGTTTATAATTTTTTAGAAATAGTATCATAATCGATATTTTTAAAATTGTATGGACTTATAGTTTACCGTAACAACGAAAGCCCAGGAAAACTGGCCTCCGCACGATTCAAGGGGTAGTCGTTTTATCCGAACGTCAGAGCTCTTTTTTTTTTTAAAAAAAAAAGAAGCGACTAGGCATTCGGATTCTTTGAGGGCCGACAAGGGATCAAGTCTTCGGGGATGGTATGGACCCGACCCGACGTGGGCCCACAGAAGCCGCTGGCAGTTATGACTTGAGCACCAGCTCAGCCGGAGATGGCACTAGGGCAGGCGAGTGGAGAAGAAGAAATTAATAAATCAAAAGAGAGTGTGGATGGCGGCAGCAAGCGACATTAATCGCACACTAAGAAGGAAGTTAGTGGGAGCGTTGAAACTGCATTTATAGCAGATGCTCCAACTAATATACAGTACTCTAATGGCTACGGCCCCTTCTTCACCTCTCACCTCACGCTAAGCCTTCCTCTTGCTCCCTCCTTCCAATTCATCTCTTTTGCTCTGCCTGTTAATCATGGCAAACGACGCCGCTCTTAGAACCTCTCTGCTTTGGCTTGCGGCGGTTATACTCATGGTTGGCTTATTCACTCATTCTCCGAAGAAGATGGTCGCCACTTATGTTCTCGGAGCCCTCGGGATCGGCGCCCTTCTCTTGCCTGACTGGGATTACTTCGATCGTGATTACTCTCGCTGGCCTTATCCTGTTACTGCTGACGAGAGGGCTTCTCTTCTTTCTCATGGATCTGCTTTCACCAGGTACCTTTTCCTTTTATTTCCCCGTCTCTCTAGGACTCGCTTATTCCTTTCCAAGATGTTACTTCTAGCTCCTTCTCTCTCTGCAGGTTTGCCAGTTCTCCCCTCAGGTTGATTGCTTACGGTGCCATTTATGGATACGCTCTGCACAAATGGTGGGAATATGTATCCAAGTAATCAGTTTTGTGTTCAATTCGAAACAAATTATATTATTTTTTTCTGCAGCTGCGGGGAAATGCTTTACGTTCACACACAGTAGAAAATATAGAAGAATAAACGGGGATTGATTCCTTTCTTGTTCCCTTTAAATTTTATCTTATCTTATTATTACCAATGATCAGTAAACTAGTACATGAGTAAATAGCGTTTCCTTCCTCCTTTTCCCCTTCAACCGATTTCAATGCCAGAGGGAGAGTGCATAGACTCAATTTTATCTTGCCTCTGCGCTTATCTTAATGCCTTATCATAATTTTAATATTTATATCTTTGACAACCCAGCTCTTAAATGTAATAGCCTCATAATTATAGATATAATAAGACATTAATTTTTCACACGAGTTTACTGTGGCCTTTGTATTCACAAAAAATATATATATATATATCTTGCTTTCCAATTCCGCAGCACATGTATGTGATAATAGGCATGCGAGCTGAATGTTCTGGTTCTGGTGATGAAAATTAACCTGTTGGGGCCATTTTTTTTCAATCTCACCCTTCCCTTATTTTTGCTTAATTAAATTAAAAGATAAAAAAATGATATATCATATACATTTTTATTGATTGTCATGTTGTATTTCTTCAATCAACAAGCAAATAATTTAGTCTAACACTAGCAAAGGTAACACCAATCAAATAGAATTAGTGTCAGCGACAAGACGCTTTGAATTTCCTTTTTTCCTTCCCCCCCCCCCCCCCCTTCAGTAAGGCTAGCCTAAGCCAGGAGAGATGTCATGAAGGAAAGCCATCTCGTTGGCGGAATTTTCTGAAGTTTGGCCAATTGGTCTGCACATGTCAACTCTTCACGTGGAGCATATTAACCTATAATCAGGGTGAACAAAGAAAAGGTCTCTCACTTCTAGTATGTCCTCAATAAACGGATAGGCTGACTTGCACCACTATAGATCAGGTCCATTGCATCCAGAGAATCAGAATATATCCTCGCCGTTGCACCACTAAGACTCGAATAACTGAGGTGGAATGAAGCGGTCCTCCACGAGAACAATCACACTATTTTCTTAAGGGCTGTGTGTTAAATAACTAAATCCTACAGCGACACCACCGCGCTACATTCAAGTATCTTTTCCGCCCAGCCCCCAAAGAAAGAATTCAATGGTAACGTCAATTGTGTTACTGTTGGCTTTTCAGGTTGCTTTCAAATTCAGGATCAGACTGCGGGAAAAAGTTACCCCAATGGGCCAACGCTGGCTTTTCTGTAGTCCGTGCAGCGGGGACTTTCCCCTGGAGGAGGAGGCACACCAAACACCCAATCAAGGACGTTTAAATATTTGGACCTAAACACTTCCCTTTCTTGTGCATAGCAATGCATTATGATGGCTGTTGACAAGCTGAACACCACCACGTCAGCTCTCTTGATCTTTCTTGAACGCGGCACGTATCCGGCATCAGCCATGCATGTGAAGAAGCTCTCGATAGCCCGTGCTAGGCAGTACAATGCTATCTCTATTCGCCTGCTTTTCTTCTCAATGGCTAATGCCAGCCCGGCTGGGAACTGCACAAGGATGCAACCGCAACTTCAACTATATCATCTATTTGGGATGGTATTATTCTTCTAAAAAAATGTAATTCTTAAAGTTCAGATTCTTTCAAGTTTAAAAAAGGACAAAAGGAACAGATTTCAAGTTGAATACCGTTCCCATGACCACCATTGGGATGTTGCATCTTTTAAATATCCTAAAGAGCAAGCACGTCCACATCCTGATATACAATAGTGGCATCCCTCTCATATATGTCAGAATTGCAAATAAAATCCATGCCAGACAGCAGCGACAAGAAGGACGAAGAATAACATAAGAGGGAGGGGGAGACAGATCTATCGAAAAGCAAGCACATGGAACCATCTGATGTAATTTCCTTAATGTGCTGATTTCGTTGCATTCTACACATGCATGAAACCGAGCTCTAGCAATCAATATGACATCTTTTGAATCAAATCTAAAGCAAAAGGTATATAGAAATACTAACTATACATGGATATCTGTTTCACCCTCGTGTGTCCCAAAGATGTTAAAAGAGTAGCACACTACTTCCATTATTTGTTCTATTAATTAATACATTTCATGCGAACTTGCAAAAATTTAAAATGTTTTAGCAAATTGACCCACATTTGCCATATCAGAAACATACTGTTTTAGAACCGTAAAATTCTAGAAGACAAGAAAACACAATTTAAAAACAATGAACTAATTATTAATAACATAATAGGAGACAGGATGATAGAAACTTAGATGCTAACCAGGCAGTAGAGCAATACACAGACAGAAACAAGCTTGATCTTGTAGTGCCAAACAGACCTTTGGCTAATATTGTGTTGGGCCTGTATATTAAATGTCGAAATTAAGCAATAGTTGACCAAAGCCCATTGATTAATTAACAAAGAGTAGACAAATTGTTAGATGCGGAAGTAATATAAAACAAAAGTGCAATACAAAAGGCTATAGGAGACAATATCAAAGATTGATTGATATATGAGAAAAGAAAAGGGGGCAAGCTTAGCTTCACAAAAGACGAAGCATCTTAGTTTAGTTCCCCAAAGATCTTTCACAAATAAAATGATCTCTGTTATTTAGCAAAACTCACAATCTCCTAACAAAGTTATTTGGGGGGCTTAACCAGGAGCTCGTGTGATTATTAATCCATGATCTAGACTTGCCTGTATAGTACTTACACCCCTAAATGGCATTGGTTAAGTGAATTTATGAAACTACGTGATTGTTAAAACAGTGATATCGTGGGGAAATTCCCATCAGCATGTCTGGGTAAGGAGTATGATGCTACTTGGGCTGTCATGCAAATCTATCAAGTGACAGTGTGTTTTGGCTGATAGAGAGGCCATTTTGATTGCAGAAAAAAAATCTTTTAGAAGATTAAATGTAGATACTTTATTTTTAAAGGACTAATTTTGAGATGAAAGTAATTGTTCAGGAATAAATCATCAATTTACTCTACTGTTTGTTATTTTCAATGTAAACGAAGTAATTGACAGGAAGGCAAAGAACTGAACATGCTTATAGTCCAGGTTAATGCATATAATGAATTAAAAATATATTCAAACTAGTAATTTTGAGAGTGCTTGGAGAAATATCAGATGGCATGACCTGTTGTACATCTGAGCCTTTTCATTATAAACAGGAGCCAGCATGCCATTGACAATATACTCAGTTTTTAGAGAAGGTACCGCCCAGTACAGTTCATATGATCTTCACAAAAGGAAGCATCAATGTTAGATTGATCATTAAGTATACTAATTGTATCACCTTTTCAAAAGTCCTTGTCTGTGAACTAATAGAGCAGGGATCAGATAAACTGGCAGGTAAACGGGTAATGCTCTTTTGTAGGCTTGGATGAGAAAAGAAAAAACATGCTCAGCACACGACTGATTCCCGTGAACAATCTGCAAAATATTTGAAAATGTCAACTTTTGATAAAAATCACCTGTTTTTCACCATGATATAAGCAGTTACACAATGTATAAATCCAAAAATGTTGACTATAAGGTTTGTGGTAAACCATCAAATAATGAGAGAGAGAAAATAGATAAATTAAATTATAATAAAGATTAGAAAGAAATAACAAAAAATAGATAATCTTATAAATTATTTAGAGTTATCCAGATAAATAAATTATTAAAATATTTTAAATAAATAAGATATTGATATATCTTAATTAGATTAAAATTTGATTTAGAATATTTTGCCCCAATAAATTATTTACATTTACATGTGAGTCTGTATATATATATATATATATAAGCCAGAATGTGTACAAAAACCTAAAATTCCCTATGGCTTTTATGCCGCTCATGCGGCAGAACCCTGTTTCTTCTTCAATTCTTTTTCTTTTTGGCTTTAATGTTGTCTTTAACGCCTAACCCAAGTATAATCATGTATTATTCTTTCTTTCAATTACTTCACCCATTCTCCTCCACTATTGTGTAACTCTCTATGTTAAAATAATGCCTACTAGACTCAACTTTCTATCTTTGCCACACCACCAACATGGATCTGGAATATTTCCAGATTGCTACTAGTGAATCTTTGCCAGCCAGAGTCAGAATTCTAGATTCTTGCATTTAGATTTTGGCTCATTTATCAGTATCTATTTCCCTGCTCTATAAGGTAATTCTCAAACTCAATTAAATTAAGATTCTAGGTGGAAACACTAGACTTTAGACTAGTGATGATGGGATTCGTATTGAGTATTAGGATCTTGATATAAGGTGTAATCAATTAATTATAGATATTTTAGTTGCGAAGTTATGACAATATCTTCATCCGAAAACAATTATAGGTGATACATTTGAGGCTTGCAATTGGAGCTAAATCATAGGCAATAACAAAACAAGACCCTTACCATTATATTGTCACATGAGTGTATGAATAGCAAGGTAGCACCATTTATTTTCACCTTTGCTATCTCTTTAAGCCTCAACTATTCATTTTCTTTGTTTTTAACTTTCAATCTGGCTTGTTTGGGAAGCAAATGCAAATTTTATTTTTCTTTCTCTACATTTTTAGATTGGACGAACAATTAGAGTCAAAAAATTAGTTTAAATTATTAATTTTGGTCTTATTCATCTTGATGACTTATAAATTACGATTATGTGAATTTAAGGTTGATGTAGTGATTGTATGATCAAAGGGTGAAGACAATTATGAGTATTGGTTTATTATTATTGCAACATCATCATATCTTTTTTTTTTTATTTTAAAAAATTTAAATCTAATTTCTTTTTTTTTTAAACAATGTTTGATTTGTTTTCTTTAAAAATATTATTCCAATTATTTTCCGTTTGTCTTTCTATTTAACTTCTTTTCCTCACAAGTCTTTATTTACATGTATATCTTATTCGGTGAGATGACTATTCCTCACAATTACATACGGGAGAGATATATATATATATATATATAAGCTATATTATATAGATGAGATGATTATTCCTCACCATGAGTTGTACATCATATGGTATATTATACAATATAAGGGTAAGATGGTTATTCCTCACCATTGTACATAGAAAGGATATGCATATACTATATTATAGGTGGAACAGTTATTCCCGGCCAAGAATGGTGATTGTTTATTGATTGTAGGAAATGTTGGGAACAAATGTTTGGTGGTTGTTACATGATTGTCTTACTTATTAGTAAAGCATTGATATACTATTTTCTCTAGTATATAAAGAATTTGTAAAAGTGAATATTTGAAATTTTGAACACTATGGTTTGCATTTATTTTATCATTGAAAATCAATTGCTAAAAAACTCTTGTGCGTCTTTGCTTCCCTTCCATGCACTTTATTATTTATACCCTCATTGAGTTAGTGGTAGACTCACTCCTCTCTTGATTTATTTTTTTCAGATGAGGCAACTGTTAAGGTGCTTTATGATTAGCTATCTTTAGACGGATGGAGTAGATTGCAAATAGTTGGATAGTCTTATGAGATTCTGTGACATTGTGACTGCTATGGTGGTGTTACTGTCAAGATTGTGACATTGTGACTACTATGATGGTGTTACAGTCAAGATGTAATGTCAGAGGAACAGACATTGTTTCATACAAAGCTTGTTTTCTCATTTGATTTTTATTGTTGGGAGATATTTTTGTGTGAGAGGTGTAATGAGTTAAAGGCTTGCTAGGCTAAGTGAAATTAAATTAGCTTAGCGTATGCACCAGTCACAACTCAGATTTTGGGTTATGACATGGTTGTTGTTCAACAAAAGTCACTCCTGAGTCTCAGCTGTACTAAAAAAGTATCAAAAGAAAATCCATATGACATATTTTATTGTTAATTTTAAACATAAAAGGGCAAAAAATAAAGTAAAAGAAAGACAAAAATGTATACGAACTTAAAGACACCATTATTAAATGCATCGTAAATAATGTATTCTCAGATCAAACGTATGAATCAGCAATTACCACAATAGTGAAATTTCAAATCAATCCAATCACCAATAAGAGTTGATGCCAAAGTTATGATACCAAGGATTAGCTTAATTTGCAGGACAAGCAGAAATATTGACATTGTGACACTAATTTACAACTACATATTGAAAGTCTTAAACAAACACGTGTTGAGCTTCCAAGATTGATAACTGTAATAGAATGACAGCTATAGTTCTTTTACTTTATATATTTCAATAGAAATAGTACTACACTGAAACACAATGAAAGAAAGAGGATAAGGTCAATAAAAAAAAAATTGTACCGAGCAGGGGATTTTCATTTGTGGATCAAGGTGCACATCAGCACCCATTGCCCTGTAGTGTTTCTCTATTGCTTCCAAATTAGTAAAAGGCAGGCCACTTGCTAACTCTTTTACACCTCGTAGAATAACAACATCCTTTCCACCATGTTTATTGAGAAAGGACTTGTATGAAGAAGGCAAACTCTCTTGGTTTAGTATGTAAGAAGACCTGAAACAATAAATTAATCATTGCTGTTAACTGAAAATGCATCAATCAATGTACATAGAAAAAAGAGGGAGGAGTGAAATAAAATATATATACATTACGTAAAAACTACAAGGCATTGCCACAAATTCAAAAAGAATGGAAGATTTATCGAACCAAGACACAATCGAAAAAGTTAATTCAGTAAATACGCACGACCCTGTTTAAACAATTCTTTTCCGAAAATCAGTACGAGAACATACAATATCTGTGAAGAGGAGAGACACATCAGAAATATGTCACCATGCTTCCATGTAAGAGGTTTACATATTCCCCCAAACCGTTCGCTCTTAATCCCACATCGAGATGCCAAGACAGCAGCACGCATGAGTATGTAAATGGCCAAGCTTGTATGTTGTGACCCTAGGCCAGTCAGAAGCATGGATGGTCCAGCAATCGCCCCTGCCAATAGAGCCCTCCACCTTGCTGTCCTGAACTAGAGTAATGGGAGAAATACGAATAAGAAATACACAATTTCAAAACAAACCTGTTAAGTTTAAAGTTTAAATATCAATAACTGAGCAAAAATTGATCATGCAGAAGGAAGAGAACATGCCTACGGTGACCTCCCAGAGCAACTATAATCTCATCCACGGACGCAAATGTTCCTGCAAAGGTTCCAAGAAAAAAGCCGTATCTCAATGTTTCCTTTAAAGCCAAAACAATTGCCTCTCTGTTTGTTACCACAGCATCCTTCCTATACCAAAAATTGAGAAACAAAACATCCATAGTTTTGGGTATTAAGTATTCAAATGAAAGAAAGGTGAACATAGCTGCTAGTCGAATAATAGAAACTATTATTCAGGTGTATATATCAAAAGCGATAAGATTTTACCTCAGGGAGTTTAGTGTCTTTCTTCGTCGCAGTCGAGCTAAGATGGAGAACAGAGCAAGACCTCCCTTGAGACCAGCTCCTATCGTGAAGCCCTTGGCCGAGGCAAGAATAATTCTCCTCAGCTTCTCCCGATCATTCAATGGAATCGAATCGAAACTTAACAAGGACGAAGAGCTCGGGGACGACGGAGAAAGACCGGATCTTCTAGAATTAGGACACTGTACATCGCTGGATCCACCGCCATCGTGGAGTAAACAATTACACTCACTAGAACAGCATGAGCAGCAGCCATCGGCTTCGGATAACCCATCACCAGACGGCGGCATATCGGCGGCTCACGGAAAGCACCGAGCAAAGCTCAAATTGCACCCCTGGAAGCAAAATGGCATGGTGGGAACTGGGAAGTTTTGTTAGCATAAGTGACAACAAAATATTTAAAAAGAACAAAAAAGATGAGATTAAAAAAAAAAATAGATCCTCTAAAATTAAAAAGAGAATAAAAAAGAGAAAATATCAACAAGCAAATTTATAGCCAAAAAAAAAAAGCCAAAAGACTTTGAATCGTCAATGCAGAACTAAAAGATTAGAGGTCGTTTGGTTTTTTTGGCTTTTCATGTTTATAAAGTAAAATTTTATTTTTAAAAAATTAAAAATTATTTAGATAAAATATTTTATAAAAAAATACATCCTTAAAGTATATTTAAATAGTAGCTAAAAGTAAATTTTTAAAAGATAACTATTTAAAATTTTTAAAAAGTGAATTTAAAAAGTAAAGTGTTATTTGACCATGTTATCCCAAATTTAATCTCTTATTCTTTTATTTAAAAAATAATTAATTTATTAAAAATATAATTATTATTTCAATAATAATAATAATTAGGTATCAAGTTTTTAGCATTATAAATTGAATAATTAATCATGTTAATTTTTAGCATTAATGTATAATAAAAATTATAAATCTTTATTATATTTTTTAAAATTATAAATTAAAAAAATACAAACAACTAGAGATCAAATTTTTAGGATTCTAGATCAAAATTTATGTTATTTAAAATTTTTATTATATTTTTTAAATATTTTAAATATATTATATTTGTATAATAAAAAATATAAATCATTATGAATCAATATCCTTTTTAATAATTGTATATTTAAAAACACATTTTACTGTCATAAACTAAATAATTTTCAGTGTACCAAGCTAACTTTTAAAAAAATGTATCCAAATATAAATTTTATAACAACAACTGACTTTTATCAAATGAACTTTTGATAAATTAAAAATCAAACACATACTAAAAATGAAAATAAATTTAAGTGTGAAATAATTATAATATCCTTGTGTGAGTTTTTTTTTTAAATTATCCCCATTGTCATTAGCGTCAACCACGGGATTGCTGTCGAAAACCTGCCATAGTAGGTTGCTAACAATGGTGACAATTTTCTTGAATAATTAGTAAAAATGGTAAAAAGAGGTTTGATCTCATAATTTTTTAGCTACATAAAAAGCTCAGTAGTCACTAATCCTATTTAATTATATATGTCAAAAAAAATATATGCAGTAGCCCAAGCTTTTGATCCAAGCTTCTATAATTATTAATCTTTTATCAAAAAATATTTATCTAAGTTTTAACAATTATTCATTTAAAATTAACAACAATCCATTTAAATTTTAATAAGTTATAAAAACTAGTAAAACGTGCTTAATTTTATAAGTATTAGTTTTTTATTAACAAACATCCATTCAATTTTTGACAACAACTCATTCAAAATTAATAACAATTATTCACGAGTTTTAATAAGTTAGAAGTACTAATAGTATAGATCTATTGAAATGTGTTCACCTTGTATAAACAATAAATCACTCTAGTTTTGACAACAATTAATTCATGATTAATAATAATACATTAAGATTTTAACAACATAAAAAATTGGTAGAATAAGCTTAATTGTACAAACGTTAGTAATTCAGCAATAAATATTTATTCAGGTTTTGACAACAACCTATTTAAAATTAATAATAATCTATTCAAGCTTTAACAAATTAAAAAAATTGATGGAATATACTTAATCATAAAAGTGTTTGTTCATCAACAAGTATTCATTGAGGTTTTGACAATAGCCTATTCAAAATTAATAACAATTTATTTGAGTTTTAATAAGTCAGAAAAAATGACAACATGAGTCTAACAAAATAAGTGTTTACTTCTAATTATGACAACAATACGTGCATGGTTAACAAGTGATTTTTGTCCATTAGAATTGTGCTATTTATTTTTTTTATTTTGTTAAAGTTTGAATGTATTATTGTTAATTACAAATAGATTATTGTCAGAGTAGCTTGTTGTTTTATACAAGGTGAAGACATTTCATTGAACATGTGTTGCCAATCTTTCCAACTTGTTAAAGCCCACGAAAGGATTGTTGTTGATCTTGAATGAGCTATTGTCAAAATATAAATAAATACTTATTAATGAACAAATAACATTTACATAATTAAGCTCATCCTATCAAATTTTTTAACTTGTTCAAGTTTAAATAGATTGTTGTTAATTTCAAATGAGTTGTTGTCAAAATATAAATAAATACTTATTAATAAAGAATTAACATTTATAAAAGTTTGAATCAAAAGCTTGGGCAACTACATATATTTTTTTGCCATATATAATTAGATAAGTTTAGTATTTTAATGGCCGTTTAAGTGATCCAAGAGCCATGGAATCAAACCTCCTTTACTTCCTTTACCAATTATTTAAGAAAATTGTGGTGACCTCATCACCAATAGGGTCTCCTATGGCAATGACAGTGGGGGTGATTTTTTTTTTTTAAATACCAAAGTCATTTTATACTTAAACTTATTTTCATTTTAGTCTTTCAATCTTACAGTGATAATTTAAAGTTTTTTTGGTCCTTTTTTGCTATAAATTTGATTGATATTTTTCGTAAAATTATATATATATAAATTTATAAATCTCAATTTTAAAAAGCGTATAAAAAATGGGTGTTTTGATTATGCTAGTGGCAACTTGGGTGAGACGTATCATAGTGCCACACGTGTGGCGCGTGATTCTTAACCCCAGAACTCTTTATTATTATATTTGGTTCAAGGTAGAGCCTGACAGATGCCCGAAATTCAGCCCAACGTCTCATGCAATCTCCTCCCATCAGCTGAAACATCTGATTCAGAGGAGCAGTACTATAGTAGCAAAGGATGCTGCGAGGGGCAGAGAGGCAGACATCGTCTGGGAAGAGAGAATTTTAGGCAATGGCCTAGCTGATTGAGTCAACCACCTGGTAAACTGATCCCTGCTTTCCAACATCCATTGGAGCTTGCTTGTACGAGAGAGAACCACCATGGACCAGATGGTAAAGAGAGTAAGAGTGGAAAAAATAGCGTAGACATGGTCTGATGCCCATCAAATGAAAGAAAGGATAGATGGATAAGCACAACAACAAGAACATGACGAGGAAAATCGTTGCAAGTGCAAGTGGGGTCATATCCAAGCACGGCAACACGGGTATGGGTGATGTGCGGCAGTATGGGATCTTTTGTGCTGGCTGGGATGGAAGTTCAGTAGAAAACAAAATACCCAAGTCGCTCATGAGGTTATGCTGAATTGTGTAATTTTTGCAAAACTGAAATTACATATAAACTGTACAAGTTATTTCCACGCTAATCTTCATTTCATTTTGAACCCATAAATCATTTCAATCCAGGCTTTCAAGCTAAATGAGGTCTTCCCTCCCCACAATTCCCTCAAACCAGATCCACCCTTTATGGCAGTAAGGCAACGGGTACAGTAACAGGGCAACAAGTACAACGTTCATGGCGGTGAAAGAGGCGACGTGGCAAAATCTAAGTGGCTCACAGCGTAGACGGCTCAGATTTATTCTCAAACCTCGCCAAAAGTCACTCGTCAGCCTCTTGTACACGCGTCACTTTCATGCACCGTATTGCAGAGGACAGAAATTGCTCGACTGACTTTATGCATGTTTCTGTATCTGCTATGCTAGCTGCAGAGAGACGCATTACTTGTGGCCTAAGGCATAGTGTATAAATGCTGCCCAATAGATTCCTTGGCGCCTATTTCTAAATCAAGAGCTCTCTGACACGAGCACTTGCAGAGCGAGACAGGAACGGTCGGGGAAGAGTGAAGCTAAGGTTTCGTGTTGGTATTGATACCGATATTCGAAATGCAGAAGCTAGGACTCACCAGCTCGAAGAGTCTGGACAAATTCAAATCACTGTATGGTCCCGCATCCGGAACTGCGAAGGCTTCGTCGTTCACTTCTCGTCCTTCCGCAGATGCCATCTCATTGGGAAGTTTTGCGAATCTGAAGCTCACCGCAGGTTTTGATCGGAATTTAGCTTTGCTATACTGACTTTCTCGGTTTGTCTTGTGGATGAAGATTTTATCCTAAGTTTTGATTGCAATTTGGTCATGTTTCATTAATTTCTTCTTAAGCAGAGAAACTTGTGAAAGAGCAAGCTTCGGCGAGGACTGATCTGGAAATGGCGGTATGATATAATATTCCGCCTTTTGTGTTATCTATTGCACCAAACGCACGCACATCACGATTTCTGGTGTTTATGGCTTGCCTTCCACTATTCAGAGAAATGTTACTTTCACTACTGCTATGCAGAATACTAAACTAAAGAAGTCCCTGGAGCATGTTCATGCTCTAGAAGAAAAACTTCAGAATGCTTTTAACGAAAATGCCAAACTCAAGGTCAAGCAGAAAGAAGATGAAAAACTTTGGAAAGGATTGGAGTCTAAATTCTCATCAACGAAGACATTGTGTGATCAACTTACTGAGACTCTGCAGCAGCTATCAGGTCTAGTTCAGTCCGGTAAGACTTTTTGCTTTTTCCTCGATCCTTTTTACTTCTATTTGATGCCTTTATTTTAAAGCCATGGTTTTTAATCATGGACTTTTGATCAGTGACCAATTTATTCTTGCTGCAATGCTGTTATAGCTGAGAAAGATAAGGAGATATTGGAAATTAAACTTTCAGCAAGTTCAGAGGCTCTTGGTAGTTTGAATAAGCATATGGATGATCTGTCTCTGAAGCTAGATTCTGCAGAGGAAACAATTAGAACTCGTAAGTTCCTCCCTATTGACATTTTGCTTTGGTTTTTAATTTTGGATCAGTTAGTTTGAAATAAAGAAGATTAATTTGTTATATCTACAATGTAACTATAGGGTTATTATTACCGCAATAAGTTTACAGGAGAGCTCTGGTCTCTGAGTATTGAACTGAACATTAATATTACGACATGTCTATATTTTGGATCTTTATTATAGGTGACAAGGAGATAGAAGAGCTCAAATCTGAGTCAGTGGCAAAGGACGAGATTCATAGAGATGATCAGGCTAGATCTGCCAATCTCTTAAAGCAGAAAGGTAATTTGGCTTTTCAATATTGTAAATTTGACAATTAAGTTACAAACAACAATTGGTAGCAAGGATATGACAATTAATACTTCAGCCCGGTGGTTCTAAGCAAAAGATATAGACAATCTTCTGGCCCTTAGAGTTGCTAAAAGGCAAAAAAGGGACGAGTTCTTGCATAGTTGTGTGTCATTATAAATGTATTAGGTGCGGTAATTATTGTTGATGTGCTGCATGGCAAAATCCATCAGAATACAACAACATGAGGTTCTTGATTAATCAGCACCCAATTTACATATGCTGCTCCTCTTCTTTTAGAATAAGGTGTGTGTCAAATACCCTAATGACCTCTAATCCTGATTCCATAAATGCCTTTATCCTCATAATTCACATATAACATAAGGGGATTTATCATGCCTGGATTGTTAGCACAGAATAGCGATTTCCTATATTCTGCTGGTATTACGATATTTGAAGTTCATAGAGATGTATTGAAACTGCTATTCAGTTTCACCGATGAAAGGCTGATAAGGTGTTTTAAAAGTATCATTTTGATTTCTTATGACAAGGTTGACTCCTGAGGTTCTAGTCATATGGAGTATGTATGATAACTTAATAGCTTATTAGTTGAATATTTATCATCCTTAACTTGCAACTAACTTTGATTGCTGTTTGAAACATGAACTTGCATGCAGATAGTATGATCAAGAGTTTAGATGAAACTTTAGCAGCTAGTAAAATGGCTTCAGAGAGTCTGAATTCAAAGTTGGGAGAGGCGCAACTTCAGTTAGAAGTCAAAGAAGATGAAATTACTCATCACATCACCACTGGGGAAAAACTGAAGAAAGAAATGGGTGATCTTCAATTGTATAACGCTGAGATTACTAAAAAGCTTGACATGTCACTTCAGAAAATCAAAGACCTTGATGAATTGGTTCAAGCCCTGACTGCAAATGTGGTTGGATTAGACAAAGAAAGCTTGAACCTTTTGAGCAAGTTTGATGAACTAAATTGTCTGTATGATTCTTACTTCCATTTGGTCCAGCATGAACGAGATGCCTTATCTAAGCATGCTCAAGCTCAATATGATGAGCTTCATAATAAATTCATGATCTTGAGATCAGAAAAAGGTGCAATTCAATTGAAAAATCATGAGTTAAACGATAAAGTGACTGAACTTCAGGAAGTCCTGGAATCAATGGCAACCCAGCATGAAGATGAATACCGATTAGCTGCTGAAAGAATTCAGTGTCTGGAGTCAGAAGCTCAAACCTTAATCTCAAACAAGGAAGAAGCTGAGCTATCAATTTCCAAATTAGAGGAGAAAGTTGAATTTTTTTCAGAAAGTTCTAGATCATTAGAGAACCAGATGGCATGTCTATTTAATCTTCCTTAATTATTGGCCAAAAAGATTTTATAAAAATCTTCCTTCATTATTGTCTTTTAGCATGCTCTGTCACATTCCTTATCCAAGTATCTAATACCATGCAGCAAGGTTTATTGCTGAAGTTTTCAGCCTTAGAAAATGAAAGCAAAGAAAATTCAGACAGATTGCAGGAAGAAATATTGAAGAAATCAAAGGAAATAGATAGTTTGAAAAAGGAAGTGGTAAAACTTGAGCAGCATGCAGATTTTCTGGAGAAACAAGTAGGTGAAGTTAATAATGTCTTGGAGGACAAGGAACGGCTTATTTTGTGGTACAAGGAGCAAGAAAAGAAGCTGGAAGATCAGATCACAGAGGTCTGGGAACAAACTTCTGGTACCTTTTTTTCCTACAGGTTTTTGTGGACTTAATTAGTTTCTGACGTTCTGTTGGGCACTGCAGAACCGGACATCATTGGCTGCTATTGAAAATAAACTTTTAGAAGCTAAGAAGCAGTATGATCTAATGGTAGAGAGCAAGCAGTCAGAATTATCGAGGCATTTGAAAGAGATTTCTCAGAGAAATGATCAGGTGCGATTGGTAATTAGTTACATTCTGTAAATCCTTTATATAGTATGAATTGTGCTCCAGCTATCTTGTAACAATCACAGCACTTAGCAGGCTATTAATGACATTAAGAGGAGGTACGAGTTGGAGAAGATGGAAATTGCCAACATGGAAAAAGACAAGGTTTGGTACAATATATTTATTATTGCCTCACATTTATCCGCATGTAACATTCTTCACCAATTTGAATCTTCAGGCTGACAAGGCTATTGCAGAAATAGAGGGAAAATGTGACCAAAAACTTGCAGATTGCAAAGAAGAGTCAAGCCAACGGTTGATGCGCATTCAGGAGGAGCACGCTTCACTGGTATGCATAAAAGAATGTAAAAGGAATGGAGATTAATTTTAGTTATTAACCATTATTTTAGGCAAAGCAGTAGTATGGACCATTATTATGGGCAAGGAAGTAGTATGGCATCAAGTCTTACAGTCAATGGAATTATATATGGTCTGATTTTTCTTCAGTTGTTTCAGGCACTATTTTCTTTTCATAATCCGTGCTGCTTTTACAAACTCATTTTCTCTGCACTAAGTAATTACTCAGCCAGTAATATTCTAAATCTATACAATCTATCACCCAGCCTGCTAAATATATTTGCATTAAGTACATTAGTTTACTTGTTTATGCTCACATTATTTCGGTATCACGCTATTTCTTTGGTGGTTATGCACCTCTTGTAAGTTTATCATTGCGTCAGCACTCTTCCTTCGCAATTGTACTCAAAATTAGGTTTAAAAATCCAGCAACCAGATCAAATAGTCTCCTGCCTACATGCAGGTTAGTCAGATACAGCAGGAGCACAACAAGAAGCAACAAGATCTTATAGCTGAACACAGTGAGAAGCTAAAGCATGTCCAACTGCAAGCTGAAAATGAAATGAGAGAGGTTCATTAATATATTACTATATATATATATATAGGGCTAAGCTATGACTTTCGAATGGCATTTACTTCACTCAACGTTAAGCTGATTTTCTATAGAAAACATTGTTCCTGAGGAATGAACAAGAAGCTCAGATGAAATCATTGAGGTGTGAACTTGAAGATGAGTGTCAGAAGCTGCAAGAGGAGTTGCATATCCAAAAATCAAAAGTATGCAGTGCCTGAACAATTAAGATAATTATTTTTTCTTTTTGCAGTATTGCTAAATTTGTCCAAGCTATATGGCAGGAAGATAGGCAAAGAGCTTTATTGCAATTGCAGTGGAAAGTGATGAGTGACAAACCAAAAGAAGACCAAGAAGTGAATTCAAAACAGGTTGGCTTGTCTTAGCAGAACTTGTGCACCTGTCTTCCTATCTCATCTACGTCATGTTGATTTTTCACTGAAATGAAAAAATGTTTTGTTTTTCAGATTGCTTATATATCTTGTAAGTCTTTGTATTGACTTCCTTTTTAGTCCCAAGCTATTATATCTATCAATCTAACATGATGTGGAATGATAACAAAATATGATCTTGTTGTTCAGATTATCAAAACCAGCTTGCAACTTAATCATACTATGTTTACTGTTCCTGTTCTGTTTTTTTTTTAAATAAGATGCTGTTATTAATTTGGTTGAACTATGATATTTATATAAAGCTAGCTTGAGATCAATTTCGTTTGTGTGAGGAGGATAACACTAGTTGTATTGTGATAGGATTACCCTGCTCCCTCAATTAAGAGGAGGAGCTCTCGTGGTGGCCAACATAGTCAACAAGCCTTAGTAAGAATGGAGACAGAAAGAAAGGAGTTTATTTATTTCTTAACTTATGACATGTAAATATAATGTTCACCCTGTCACCTAGTTTGCTTTGTATTTCTGTGCTCTTTACAGGACTCTCCTTTCCTTGAAGTAAGACAAACACCAGTCTCAAAATTGTTACACAAAGTGGAGAATGCTAAGGCAGGAAGTACGATGAGCATTCCTCAGCATCACAGAAAGGTGACTTACTTCCCTATGAACTTCAAATACAAAATCTTGAAGGGAGAGGCTATATTCCATTATGTGGCTATTAGGGTTACTAAAGTCTTTTAGTTGTTATTTTAATACCTGTCTGTTGTTATTGAGAGTATTTTGTTTTAATATTTATTTTATAGATTCTAGAGGATCTATAGTTAGGAGGATATGCTCATATCTCTAGACCTGAATTCTCCTATCTATTGTACTGATTTCACACTAAATAAAAGGAACCAGTGACTGCAGCCAAAGTCACTGGTTTTCATGGTCTGAATCTATAGATCCCCTTATTTTGCTGCAATTAGGGCATGAAAAGTGTTGTGGTGCTATTAATCAATTTATGATAGTAGGAGGTAAACGGATTATAGTCTAAACTTGATGTACAGGTGACTCACCATGAATATGAAGTTGAGACTTCCAATGGAAGAACCGTTACAAAGCGAAGAAAAACAAGAAGTACTGTCATGTTTGAGGCATGTATCTAATTCTCTAAAAATGCTGTTAGACCTACAGCGATGCACGTGAACAATATTGTTACAGGAAATGGCTTGGTTTTAAAGTAGAGTACAGATCTTTTACAAGCTTACCAATGTTCTTTGCTTTAATAGGATCCAAGAAAGCATAAGATTAAAACACCAAAAGCAAACATGCCTGGAAGTTTTGTCAAGGTAATCAAATGGTCAACCAAAATTTCCTTTTATTTGTACTTTATTTATGCATAGCGTGGTTACTTCAAAACATCTAGTTCCAAAGCTCCCATGATTTTGCGTTGTGAATTCAGCAACAAATTAGTTCAATCTCTGTCTTGCACCAACATTTTCATCTTCATGTTCACTTTGCTGACGCCACCAGAAATGGTGATGATCAGGAGAATTGAGAGTCTTATCAGTTTTGTGACTACTTTAACTGCTACTTTGGATTTATTTCCTTGTAAATTATTTTTTGTGTGGTAAATTTTTTATCATTTTCTGAGAACAAGAATTTTAACATGTTATATGATAATTTATGATTTCAAATGTTCTCATGTCCAATTATTTTGTGCTGGTTGAGAATATCTGAGCTATATAATACTGATTGTTCATAATCTTTTTGCATTTGCCCTTCTTGTTATCTTGAGTGCAATAGTTGACATTTGCTTGTTCATAATCTTTTGTTTTTCTTTTTCTAATGCAGGGCACGAAGGGAGGAGGACATGTTCCTCCTTCAAATATTGGTGATTTGTTTTCAGAAGGTTCTCTAAATCCCTATGCGGATGACCCCTATGCATTTGATTAGAGGTATTTGTATTCAACAACACACACTAGAAATTCAGGGTTTAATAATTCTCTGAACTTACTTTATTGAATGAAAATAATCATCTTATATAAGAAAGGGACAACAAACTTTGCCGACCAATTCCCAATACTTGATGTCGACAGTACTTAAATCATTAAATCTAATGATAAAATATTTGTAAACTCGAAATCTAATACTAATAAAAACATAGTGCCTAGCCTATAGTAATCCTGAGCTTCTAAATTAAACCTATTAGACGTGTAATGAGTTGACTAGTCCATTCTCTGCAGCTATCATCTTGAAGAACCCCGAGAAAAACACTTAAAAGGTTCTTAATAAACGTCAATTTTAGATGAGCATTTGCTTGTTAGGATCACATTATATATAATTCAAAGGGTCATTGGACAGTCAAACCTAATTACCTGATCGTTCAGTAACATGTTTTCACATTTTCCATGTCCAGATAGATTAGTCCTTATAAGTTGCTCTCCCCGTTTTCTTGATGAATGCTTTATTATTCCTCTGTAGTGTTATTTGTAGATTTCATTTAACTTCCTTCTTCGGTGACTGTCCTCAGGCTTCAATATATCTTTGTTCTTTCATCTTGACACTATTGTTACAGGCTTTCAACAGATGCACCTAACCAAATGTTAGGTCCCTCATTCTCTGTAGTACGAAGCAGCTTGTCCCCGCGATTGGTTTACTTTTAAACTTGATGCGTCTCTCACAATCTTCAGTTCTAAATTGTATGGCATCTGTTTCATGAGGTGATTGTATTTTTGCTGATTACCAACTATGATGGGTTAGTTCTTCGGATGTCAGCTGCGTTTAATCCACATTTTGATTGGACGGTTGGAGTGAAATATTTACCATTCTCCCTTTAGATTGAGTGAGAATTGAGTTTCTCATGAAAACGAATGTCCCTGGATTTGATATGGCTCGTATTCTATATCAATTTCTGAGCTTTGCCTCCACTGAATACATGTGAATGTACAGTGACCCGTATTCAAATGAAGCACGTTTTCCGGAATCCGGTCTCCTTTCTCAAATGTGCATTACGCAGCATGTGCGTAGTGTGTATTATTCAAATTTACTTCTACTTTGAATTTTTGAAGGTATCGTTTGAATCCTGGTAAAAAAAAAAAGGTATCGTTTTGAATTGTTAGATTTGCATTTTAGATTTAAAATTTTGTATTTAAAATCCTTTATTTAAATAATTTAAAAAATTTCAAATAAACATAAAATTGAGAGTGATTAGTTTATTTTTATTTTTTAATCAACTAAAAATAAGAACAAGATATAAAAGTCATAAAGACAATTAATCAACAATAAAAATATAAAAAATGATATGTTTGAAATGATTGAAATTTTAAATGATTAGAGCATTGAAAGAATTTAAAATTATAAAAAATTATAATAAAAAATCAATCTTTAAATTCACAAGTTTTTGAGCATTTAAATACATAAATTTTGTCAGGTTTTTTTTTAGGCCAAATTTTGAAACTAACGGGGCTAATTCCTAGCACTCTTCCACCACTTTTTTGCCTTCATGTCCATTTTTGTGTGATTATTTTGGATGGACTAGTCCAAATAAATTTTAAAAAAAATTTTAGTGCATTTTTTTTTAAAATCAATACTTTGAATTTATTTGGATAGCCTGAATATAATAAATATTAATTAATTATTTAAATTTTAAATTATTTTATATTACAATATTATATATTTGAGTGCATTACTAAAAATATTTATATTATAATATTTTTATTATTTTTAATATATAAAATATCTCAAAATAATATTTAAATTATATTTTAATATTAATTTTTAGATTTTAAGATCCACATATTTTTTTAAAAAAATTTTGAGTCCTATATATTATTTAAGTATTTAAAAAATATACTCTATATTTTTATCAAATGAATTAATTAATTTTTAAAATTAAATTAAAAATAATTTTAAAAATAAAATTTAAATATTCAAGTTACTCATGTAACATCCCAATTTAAGTTTTAATAGTTAATTTAGATTAATAAAAATTTTAAAAAATATTTAGAAGTGAGCAAATTAATAGGAGATGATTGTTAAATCTAATTAGGATATAATTCTAAATTAAAATTAAAAAATAAATAATTAATTAATTAAAAAATATATTAAATTATTATTATTATTATTATTAAAAAAAGAAACGAAAATGTATAAAAAAAATAAGAAGAAGAAGAAGAGATGGTTGCTTTCTGCGTGCTCCCACGGCAATCATGACATATATATATTATAATAAAAAAAATAAAAAAAGAAGAGAGAGGAAAGATGAAACAATAAAAAAAAATATGTGAGACTTGTAGTATTTTTTTTATAAAACCACCTTCTTTCCTTCGTTTCTTCATTTCATCCTTGTACACGAGCTGAGGCAGAGAGCGAGCGAGAGAGCGAGCGACACTGACGGAGAGGCTGACTGATTTAAAAGGTGAAACTCCATAATAGGATACTTCATATGAGATTTTAAGTATTCTAAGATTAGGTAAGTGTTCTAAACATTTTTCTTAGTCATCTTTTTTCTTTGGTTTCTGATTTTGTGGTGGTAGAAAATTTAGAATTTGGAAGAGAGATGAATTTATGTTGAATAAATATGATTTTTGAGGTTGTTGGTAGTGTAATAAATATTCGAGAGTATTATTTTGTTGATAGAATTGAAATTTGAGGCATTTGAGTTTATCCCTAGATTTATATGGGTAGATTTTTGGTTAAATCTAAAAATATAAATTGATTTGTTGATATTTAGATGATTATTTGAGATAAAAAATAAATTATTATGGCTATAGAATAATGATTCTAGGCTTGAAATCAAGTTTGTAATTTTTAGGTATTTTTATGTGCAAATTTTTGGAATAAAAAGAGAAATTTTGATATTAGAAAAATATTTGAATGAAATTATTGTGAAGGAGACTGTTGAACCAAGTAGATAGGTTCAAATACATGAAATTAAATTTTAGAATTCAAGAGACTAAGACTAAATTCTTAAAAATATATATATAAATAAAATAAATATAAAATAAAATAAAATAAATACTTAGGTGTTAGAGTATGAGTGAAAATTGTGTTAATAATATTATTGACACATTGAAATATGATTAATTGTAGATTAATTTTCTTTTGACACCATTTAAGCTTTGGAAAGTTTTGGAAGTATTGTAACTTGAGGGGTAACTTTTGACCTCTCAAAGGTTGAGGTAATCGGGGGAAATCTATTTTATGCATTTGTATGTTAATTAATTAATTATGTTAGTGAAATAAAAGAATATATATATATATATATATATCTAAATTTGAAATAGTTATTTGTAATGCATGTGACTTTGTTGAGACTTTATGATTTGTGAGTAATGAGATTGATGGTTGATGATTATGTGTACACTATTGGTTATAAGTTGTGGATTATGCACAATGATAAAAGTTTATGAGCATGTGGGATAATTTTGAAATATATATATATATATATATGAGTTTTTGAAATGCATTTTTCCCATGAGCATGATCATATGGCGGGAGTTTGCCTTAGTGAAGGAGTTAGCAGTTATACAAAATTCATATGGTACTTGGCTATTAACCAATAATCCCAAGGGTTATAGCCGCTACTTACCTTGTAAGGTACTGTAGCATTATTTCTATTAAGGGACTTGACCCTACTGGCCTATCTGGAGTTTTGGGTAAAGCTAGTTTGGGTATGACACTCCATAGTGTGTGATTTGGGGGAAACCGTGTTCATAAGTGAGTAAGGTAACCCTGACCCGGTAGCCCCTCATGATATGATTAAGGCCTTGGGGTAGTCTCACCACATGGACGATCCCTTTCGGTTGTTGGCCTACGGATTTCATGTCAGAGGAAATAAGGGGGGATATAAGGAAGAAATTGATCATACATATTATTATTATTATGCCATTTGAGTGATTGATGGTTATGTTGAGAATATGATTATAATTGTAGAAATGAGAACATGTAGTAATTATGTGAATAATGTATATGTGGCTATTTGTGCAAATTTTATACTTGATTTTATTCTTGAAATTATTCACATGAGTTAAATGTTAATGTGATTAACATGTTATTAATGTGATTGTTTGAATGGTCACCTTGATAAATTTATTGGTCACTTGCATTCATGATTAATTATCATGCATTTGTATAACTTAGATATACCTTGGTTACTGAGTGGTTGTACTCACCCCTCTCTTTTAACTTTTAACATATTACAGGAGCTAGCTCATCAAAGAAGAACAAAGGAAATGAGCATTAGGCCAAGTGATAATAATCACTTCTGTAAGCCTCTCTCCTTTTATTTGATATGTGTATTTAGTTTATGATATTGCCATCTAAGATAATATATTCTTAATCCACTTGCATTATGAGTTTTGTGTTGGAAAAAATGTATTTTGGGCCCTGAGGAATGTGATTTGATGTTTGTGCTATAATTACGGGCCAAAATATTTGTACAGGTAAAATAGTTATTATCATGCTTCCGCATATGTTTAATTAAATGATATGAGTTCTTAAAATATTTTAAAGACTTGGAATTCCTTTGTATTAAATAGTTTGTAAAAAACATACATGTTAAGAATTTATTTAGGTTAATCTCGTAATGAATAATTCATTTGAATTATTAATTATGATTAGTGTGATGATTAAGTCTTAATTTAGGACGCACTTTACAGCTCAATACTAGATAAATTTTGGGTGGGTTGAGTTTGATCATTTAAATTTTCAAAAAATTGAGCCTATTTAAGTTTATTCAGGTCAAACCTGAATAAAGCTCGGTTAATTTAAATTTCCAACTCTATTTAACATTTGCAGCTATTCCCAAACAAAAAACAGGGAAAGAAAGTTGCAATGGTGGCAGCTTCAGCTTGGAAAATGAGTTTGTGAACTGTTAAATTCATACAAGTTATTGTTTTTAATTTTAATTTAATTAAGGATCAACGATCAGATTCTTTTCATGCTCTTACCTGAAAACAATCGTCGAAGCATTTCTTTTCTTGAATCAATTAGACTATTTCTGCTGTCTGCTCCCTTCCTGCTTTCATTGGTCTTTCGTCCCTAAATAATCTGCAGTTGCGACTATTCTGCCACGTGGCAAGTCTTTGTAAGAGAACCTGCTAGCATTCCCGCGCTGGCAGAGAACGAAAGGATCATCACTGCACTCTGTGTTTAACGATGGTGTTTTGACGTCAACGGACATTCGTTTTTAAATATATTTATGTTCGATGCTCACAAGCTCAGACAGACTCCAAAAACTGGGTCTAAGTGAGGGGATTAGCAGTGGGCTGATCGCCAATAACTCGCAAAAATTTCACTCCCGAGGGAGATATATCTCTTTGTTCACCCGATTCTAATTTTTCCTCGTTTGAAAATTGGCCAATTCTCTTTCTTCACGTTGTGGTGTATCTGCAGTCCAGGAGTTCAAATGGATATCCAAGAAACCAAGAGCTACAATTGCAAAGTCAACGTCACTCTTCGTTCAACTATACCAGTCGTGGGCTGCGAAATTAATCCGTCGGTGTCGGTCACATCGAAAGGGCCATTTCCAGTACCATTTCACTCCTATTCTGTCAATTTTAAATGGTAGTTTTTCTTTCTGTTATTTCTTTATATTTTTAGTTTATTCTGAAACGTGCAAACTTGGTATTTATTTCTAAGATATAAATAAAAGCAACGAGTCATATTGTCTGGTATCGACAGCTCGGAAGACCTCTAGCTGCTGATATGTTTCTAAGATGTAGGCACTCTTTGAAGGAGCGACTCCTGCAAATTAATTTGGTAGCCAAAAGAAAAGGTCTCACAGATTATGTTTCAGGGATATAATCTCATCAATGCCAATTGAATTTTCTCTTCTATTTGGGTTTGTTGGTAATTTGTCTATTTCATTACACTCTCCTGTCAATAGACTCTGTAAATGCAACGTACTTTATGTAGATGCCCTCGTGACTCTGTTCACCTGCAAGTCGGTGGTGTTAAAGCTTGAAGTTAATATTTTATATACAATGATAATTTACCGAGGCATCAAATAGTATCATTAACATGGACTCCTGAATCATATTTAAAAGCCTTCCCTAGCTATCTATCTTGCTCTTGATTTTGCTTAGCCTAAAAATATTGAAACCTCCATATTTCTAGGTATAAAGAAGCAGAGATCTGCTCCATACATAATGATAAGTTGGCTACTGTTCAATGCGTATCTTGTGTTAAATTGAACATCCCAGGGAAAGAGAGTTACCATTGCTCAACAAAATGCTTCCTGAATTCATGGCAAGCACACCAGCAGCGCCATCATCTCGAAACTGAAAGGAGGACTTTAACTGATGATGCACAAACGATAAGAAAACTTAGAAGTAGTGGCTCTTGGCCAGAGCTTTGTAGTGAATGTTTAATTGATGAGGCAGCAATGATGGATGGAGGAGGAAAAGATTGGTTTTTGGTTAGTTGTTCAAGAAGTTATGTACCTGAAGTGGATGATCTCGGACTAATCTTGAAGCTAGATTGTGTAGCTGTTGACCTTTTAACAAATACTGCTTTGTCCGAACTAAATCAAACAATGACTGACCCTGTGATTGAATTTCCTGAGGCTCAGCCTCGCCCTATGGTTCCAACTCCACGTGTGCAAGAATCTTCAAGTTTGTGTTCCACATCCCTAAACGATTTTACTTTTAGCATTCTCTCATATAACATCCTGTCTGACATTTACACTTACCAAAAGTATTACAACTGCCCCCCATGGGCTCTTGTATGGGAATACCGTCGTCACAATTTGCTCCGTGAAATCATTAAATATAATGCAGACATCATTTGTCTTCAAGAGGTTAGCACTTTTGTCTTGCTACCATGCTTTGTTGCTTTAAAGTGTATGTTGACTTCAATGCAAATTTTGCTGTATTCCAGTCCTGTCTGTTGTGCAGGTACAGAGTGATCATTTTGAAAATTTCTTTAAACCTAAGTTGACTGAAGAAGGATACATGGCTATATACAAGAAAAAAAACAATGAGGTAGGTCACCCTCACTCTTGTGTGTTTAGCCCACATATTGGTTAAATGACCAGATAGGGTAGAAATGATGTTGAAATTTTAACATATCATAGAATTTGTTGCATTCATGCTATTTCGAATTTTAAAAAATTAAGGAAAAAAAATATTGATCAACAATCTAAGTTGTCGCTACATGCATTAATTTCTACTGATGTCCCAAAAACTGTTAAAAGTATGTGTAATGTGGCAATAGCTATTATAACTTTTACAGATGAATTTTGAGATTTGGTTCATGGAGTACAGATTTAACAAGAGTTGGAATGAGGAAGAAAGGCTTGGTAAAAATGAATGGATGTGTAAGGTCATTATTTGTACTTCTTGTGAACCAACCAAGATGAAGATGAGCTACATGTCAGGAGGGGACTGCAGGCCCGTAGGGATCATCTTTTTTTTTTTTTTTTTTTGCTTAATTTAGGGATATCTAATTAAACCGATAAGTTTATTTTCTGATTTTTGTAATGGATGACCGCCTCTTTATAGGTTTATTCTTAGCCCTGTCATGTTACATGATACACTATACTGCACTGCGAATACTTTTATTTCAAAATGAAAAGAGTGGATGTTGCATATTCAACTCATTGGAGGGGAAGAACAACAGAGATAAGGGCGTATAATGGATTGTTTTCAAAGTGGAAACTCATATTTTTGTCATTGTAAAGATCGCAAACTTAGAAGACTTAGTGCCGCTTCCAGCTGCATTTAAAGTTATCAGTGTTGTATTGAATGCATTGCAGGTTTACACTGGGAATCAATTTGTAACTGATGGGTGTGCAACTTTTTACCGGAGGCATCTCTTTAAAGAATTTGCAAAACATGAGGTAAGAAGCTCTGGATTGTTCATTTCTTTAAAACTTAATTTGAGATTTTTTTTTCTTTTTCTTTTTTCAGGTTGAATTTAATAAGAAAACATCACCTGTAGTTGAAGCACTGGAACCTGATCTAAGGAGTGAAGCTAGCAAACATCTCATGAAGGTAGAAGTTCCGAATGGGTTCCCTCTTTGCTTTTTATTTTATCTCTTTGGTTTTTCCTTATTCTTGGTATTGAATCTGACTTATCATCCCAAAGGGTTCCTTTCAGATTTTGGATTTGTCAGTATAATGCCATTAAATGTCGAGTACTCAAATTCATTCTATAAGTACTCAAGAAAAACTTGTAACATTCCAGCCGATTTCCTTTTTTCTTTGGAGTTCTTTTATCAGGATTTGTATTTCCAGTCTGATTTGATTTTAACCAAAAATAATGGAGACCTTAGTCAATATCATATAGCTTCCAGACGAAGTTTTGTTTTTCGAAAACAGTTCTCAAATAGATTGTATATCTTTCAGTAAGAGAAGGGGCTGATGGAATTTGAGTGCTCTTACTAAGTTTTTTACGTGACAAAATGTAAGCTTTGAGTCTCACGTGCTTATTTTCTCTATTGTATAGCCTTTTGTTCATTATAGATATAGCACAACTCGAGCCTATCTCTTTGTGTTTTCCATATTCTCTCTTTTTCTCATCAGTGTACATCAACCAAAGAAGGAAAAAATGTAATTTTCTTTCAAATTATTTTTTCTGTTCCAAATGAAAATTATCCGTTCGTGCTATATCCAGTTCCTTTTATCTCATGAAACGCTGTAACATCATAGAATTTTTGTATCGCAGGACAATGTTGCACTTGTTGTCATTTTGGAAACCTTGGGAAATTGCTGCATTAAAGATGCCATCCAATCTAGAATTTGTGTGGTACTGGATATATTATATTACCTGTTTTTCATTTCACTGATATTGCTGGTGCTGACTGCTGACAATTGACTTTGTTATGCATCCCTAGGTAAATGCACATATATGTTCAGATCCAAAACTCCCTGATGTAAAATTATTTCAGGTGCTTATCAAAAGTATGGAGATTCATCCTTCCAAACCTTTATTGAATAATTTTACACATTATCATAACTCCTGTATCATCTTTTATCTCTTCGGGTAAAGGTTGTAACCCTAGTCAATGAGCTAGAGAAAATGCTGCAATCAGAAATACCTCTATTAATATGTGGAGATTTCAACTCTGTTCCCCAAAGGTTAGTGTCCAGTGAAAGAGCTTCCACTGAGCTAACTAAGGAACTTTTTTCCTGTTTAAATAATGTGAATAAAAAAGTAACACCAGAATCTGGAAAAACCTAAGCATTTTTTCCAAAAGGATATCTTGCCGGCTTTACTTTTATGGTATTAATAATTATCATTACTATTGGCATAACAGTGATCCCTACACTTTTATGGTTACTGGCAAACTAGAACATAGTGAAAGTGTCGATCCATATGGTGTATATCAGCATCTTAAGCTTGTTCATCGTTTTTTACTCGTAAGCCTCATGTTTTTACTCACTGTAGTTGTGATGGTTTCAATGTATCTCTGGACTCTTCTTTACGAAGTCAAGTTTTATGCTTTACAGGCAAGTGCATATGCAAGTTTTGGTTTAGCAGTTGCAATGCAAGAAAGACAGTTAGGGAAGTTTAACCAAGAAACCAGGGAGCCTGAATTAACCTTCCGCTCAAAACGATTCTCAAAAACCTTAGATTATATTTTTTATACAGGTATGCTAAACATTCTATTGAAGTATCAGTGTTAATCGGCCTACGTCTCCAATTTTTCCCTTTTAGGATTCTTCAGATAGAATAAGCCTCTAGGGAAGAAGCAATTTGTAAAGTGCTAACTACAGATTTGCCTCCATGGCAGGTGGATCACGGCTTCATAAACTTTATTTTCTAAAGTTACCTATTCTTTCGATGTCATTTTATGCAACTACCATATAGGAAACCTTGTCACAAAGATGTTTGCGTGCTAACCATTGTTGTGTGATGTCACCGTTCTCTTTGCAAAATCAAAAAGAGACGCCCCTCTAAAGAAATCACGAGAGGAACACCACAGGGAGGCCACTGAAACTATATTGTCCCACAATAACTGAAGAGGCATTTAAAAATCCTTGAAAATGTGAGAACTGCAAAGACAGGACACTGACTTGACATTTTGACATCCTTGCTCGCCACCAAGACTTTAGGACCCATTTGGTTTCTTGGATATTTTTTGAAAGAGATGAAATGGGAAAGGGAAAAGAAATTGACCTTTAATGGAATGGGATTTTTGGGCTCAAAATCATACTTGCTATTCCATGAAGTGAATGGGCATAGGATATATCGTGCTCTATCAGTAAACCATTACATGGCTGTGTAGTTTGTGCTAGCTTTTAAATCCTTTTTTTCCCCCTATTTTTCTTACTAGAAGATGCGTGTTAGTGTTTGATTCTGACCGGGAGGAGGAAAGGCCAATGAGTGACTGTATATACTTGTCATATTGGATAATATTTGGATAAATACAAAAAAGATTGTGCCCCACTTTGGGCAGGACGTCTTGGTCCAGTAGGGAATGAGTGTTGTCGGTGGACAGAATCAATTTCTTTGATTTGGAATTGTTTGGAAGGCAATGCTTATTTGTCACATATTGTCTAAGAGATCTCAAGTAATGTATTGGTGTGTGATATTCTTTCCACTAGTAATTATCGGTTTCCAATTTTCTTTCCACTTTTCATTGAGTTCCCTAAGTGGGACTTGTAATGAGTGTATTTGGCTCCTCTAAAGTAATTTCTTATGGTGTGTCAAGAAATGAATCTACAGATTACCATGACTTATTCATTGAAATTTGCATCATGGATTTTCTCACGGTTGTGCATGTTCACTTTAATGAAGCTGAGTTTTAAGTTATGTTCCATGCTAAAACCATTTTATCATTGCTGGCAAGGAGAGCAAAAAAATAAAAAAATAAAAAAAATTATCATTAACAGCATAAAATGCTTCCTTATAGTGAACACTTTGGAGGTTGAAGCTGTGCTGGAACTTCTGGATCACGAAGATGTCGCTGCTGGCCTTCCCTCACCCCTTTGGTCGTCAGACCATATCGCTCTCATGTCAAGTTTCAGAATCCTACCCAAAAAACAGTCCTGCAACTAGAAGCGTGCAAGCAGGCTCTGAATAGCAATTGGCTTGAAGTTGTTGAAAGTATTTCAAAAATTATTAGCATCATGTTGTCTATATTATACGGATCATTATGGTTTGACATCTTAAGTTCTTATCAATATATATACACACATTATAAAAATAAAATCAATGTATACTATTCCTTCGGTTTTTTTTTTTTTATGTCTCTTTTTTTCGTCGTTTGATTTATAGCCCTGTGAAACGGGTGAGATCATCTAGTTACCTATTACCTAATGAACTAAATCCTAGTCATTGCTATGCAATTTCTTACAATTTCACTGTGAAGTTAAATGAGATGAAATAATTTAGTTATAAGATAAAATATCAATGGAATTGTCATTGTTATGCAATTCCTTGTATTGAAATTTTAGATGGATCATTCCAAATATTGATGACTTGGTATTTATTTCTAGCATCCAAAACGAGTTTGCTAGTTAGAAAGCAGAGAACGTAAATGATCGAGCCCGGGCCTTGTGGGCTGTGGCTACACTAACATTCAATTTACATTAAACGGCGGAGGAAATGTACAAAATACGTGATCCATGTCACGGATATTCATCTGCTATCATTATATTCTGCATGCACCTTTGAGGTTCAGTGACCATCTTAGTCATTAATTCATGTCTCACTTCTAATTATTTTTCAGTTACGAGAGTTCTTGGGAACTTCGGTTTACTTTATATGGTGTTTATTTTTGCTCCTGTATCGGACGGTTGAGTTTATAGAACCTTCTTTCAAGATTTCCTTCCTTGTTTTATTATTATTATTATTTTTTTTTTTTGGGTTGGGGGAGCGCAAGAAGACGTCTTTTAAGATTTCACTGAATAATATTGTTACAGCTGGCATGAGCTTTCGAACTTCAGAATTACTGTAGCAAGGGACTCTCGGGGGCGGAATTAAGAATTAAATTCACTTACACAGAAGAGTAGATCTGTTATCCAGCAATGGTTCAAACATCACAGTGACCATTTTTAAGGAAACTGGTTGTTCATTCACTGTTACTGGTAAAGAAAACCATAGCATAAAATTTCTTTGCTACTTTATGAAACAAGCTTTTACGAGTAAAGGGGCATCAGTTATCATCCAGCATCGGAAAGAGTCTACACCAAATTTCTTCTATTATCTGGCAACATATAACTTCGCTGGATAAATTTTTGGATGATTGAGAAACACTATATTTACACATATGGTACCCGATGTTAGTTTCTTACCAGTCATCCATTCACCCTTACTCTAACAGTCTAACAGTCAAATATACTGTACTTGTACTTGGAGAAATTGAAGATAACTAATGCCAGGAACATGTTGGTCGTGATAAAGCTGAGAACTTGCCGATTCTAGCACAAGAGGCCGCACTTTCTCTTCAAGAATTTTGGAGGATTTTGGTCTGGGGGGTGCATGAATTTGCAGTTAGGGCAGGCAGGAGATGACTTACGTAGCATTACTAGCATGTGGCACCGCATGCAAACAGTGGCAACCATCTCTCTGTGGTCTCCCTCCGAATGACTTTTATCTCCAGAATCCTTCTGCTTCTCATTTATTTTGAGGTGGACTGCTTTGCTCCTCTGTGATTGATCAAATGTCAAGTTCAGCTCAAGGTCTAAGCTTATTTGAGTAGAGGATGGTGGTGCAGGGCTATTCTTTAGGTCCTCTGGCGTATCCGTATTTATCCTTGTCTTACAGAACCCTGACTGCATTAGAAAGATTAAAGACGTAACTTAATAATACGCATGTATGTGGCTATAGCTTCTAACATGTTTGACAATATATATACCTGTAAACTGGGGTATTGTTGCCGTTTATCTGAAGGCATATGAAATGTGGATTTCCTTTTCTCTGCCTCTGTTTGATTGTTGAAGAACTCCACAGGAAGTGACTCTTCCCACTTTCTCTTTTTTGAAGAAGCTTCAACTTCACTTCCCGGACTCTCGGCCAGGGCTTTGTGAAAAGAAACCATCACTTCTACTCAAGGAGTGTAGTTTAACCCCACCCCCCCTCTCTTCTTTACGTTACGTGTATATCAATGACCAAACGTTCATGAAGATTGAAGTGGTTATATAGGATAAGGTTGGGCCGTTAAAACTTGGAGGTCCACGAAAATAAAAGGACTTTACCTGCCTAAGCATGACGTGATTTTCCATGTTGGCACCCTCGTAATAACTACACAGCACCAAGGCCTGAATTCTGATACTTGGCCTTCCAAATCTATAGAATTGAGTAACTGACAACCCCACCAAAGTATCTGGCAGAAATAACCATCTAATTTTGGTATGAATTAATTTGAATCCATGACGTACCATAAATCGAAGCCGAAAGGCGACAGCTGAAGGGTAAGTATTGGTACTTTATGAAAGAGGGTGAGAGGCTGGGAGGTATGGCAAAGATTCATTTAATATTAGGAGTCTGTATACAGTTGAGGGAAGGTAGTGAGAGACCATGGCTTTTAATGTTGGATATAATAGCTTCATCTTCCCCATTTGGGTCACTTAAAGCTCTCAACACCCTCTTCAGCCATTAAAATCAACCAAGTCCTAAGAAGAGTTACCAAAAAAAATGAGCTGAAATTTATTTTTCCTTCTCTCTCCTAAATAAATCTTTGAAACAACCACTCTCTCGCTCTCCTTAATTTCTTCAGCTGCACTCCATGCCCAACGATCCCCACTTCCTCCTAAGAACACCACGATTCAGCTTTTATGAGTCTCCTTCGAACGGCTAAACAATTCATGAGACTGAAACCAGAAACAAATTATGAGACGTGTAAGTGTGTGCGTATGTCTGCAAATGTAGTTGAATGTTACGAATTAAAACGCCGTGTAATAACAATGCATCATGTCATCACCTACAAAATTAATTACGACAATTGCCTCTTCTCTCACAATTAATCAATCCGTACTATACTTCTCTTCCCTTGCAGTAGAATTGAAAGACGTGATAAAAACACCTGCAAAATACTTATAAAAAGGTTCTCGGGATTTTCTATCTATGACCAGCTTCTCAACTTGGAAAAAGACACATACCATGTATCGCTTGGTCGGTTATGCCTCCGGGTTTACTTTTAGCCAAATATCGCCGATCATAAAATTAATTTGACGAGCAACCGACATGGACGGCATAACTAAAAGATTTTGCTGGCGATCAACAAGAGACTGATCATAAGTGCAAGTGGAATTTCGCAATCAATTAATCTTTACCATTCTTCCCTCCTGATTCACGTGTTTATTCCTAATCTAAGTTTCTTTACTTACAAAGAGAAAGATGGAAGAATCAAAATTGGCTTGAAGATTCAAGGAAGGAGGCCAACTACCAAGAAACCATTAAATCACTTTGAAGGAAGGTCACCTGCCTTCATTAAATCACTTTGAATTCGCATTTATGCAGAGACTTGAATAAGTGACCAACTTTAAACAACCCCTCATTCACTGTCTTCTCTATTACTTACATTTGCATGCCTTTCTTCCCCCTCAACCTCTCAACACCTTCAGGCTCCTCCTGTTAAATGCCCCCAACCCACTCATTTATGTTCCTCTGATTCACTCACTCCTATCAGCACATCATCACAATGTCTGTCAGATTTCATCCTTTTTTTTTTCTCCCGTAGTAATTCTCAACGCTTCGACAATTACTCTGTTAATCTTAAATGTGAGAAGGGTATATTTATAATTGATCGTCGTTCATTAATATATTGTGCGAGGGTCTCCTTCTGATTTTTTTATTTTGATGATGACGATCGATATCAATATATCAGTATGCTAGTCTGTATGTCCAGTCATTGATATGTATTTCGATAACACATACATGTACTGGCAGCAGAGCTCAGTGTCTTCGAAGCAACTCTTGTGATTGAAATTGGCAGCAAGAAGTGGTTCCTGTCGACATTTTATGAATTCTTTGAAGTACTTTGTGAGGATAGACTTAATAAATAATACTACATGAGACAAAAAGCAACTGTTCAGTCTTTAATCTCAGTGTCAACGCCAGATGTTTGAGGATTAAGAGTTGAGACAGACTACTGCCAGGATAAAATAACAGTTCCGATGTGATTTAGTGTATTATTAGCACTTGCTCACGCTAATTATAATTATGAGTTGATATGATTTGTACTATTAACGGTAATTTTGTTGACTGAATTCCCGTTTCATTTATTGTAATTATTCTAAAATGATCTTGCACTTAACAAGAATAAATTTTCTCCTTTATATATATATACTCTCGTGTTTCAAATGAATGAAATCAATGAATATAACACAGTTTATATTCAAATTCGTCCTTTGTTCTCTTCTCCTTTGTATTTTCTTATGGTATTATTTCCTGATTTTGTTTATTTCTTCCGTGACATCAAAGTCAGGTTTCTCTCAAACGATCTCTCACCATTCAAGTGTTCATATTTCTGCGATTAACTAAGATCTCTGCGTTCCTCTCATTTCATTTTGTTTAAATCTATCTCCATATTTGTATTTCACAAAGTGATGGACAAATATGACAATGGATGGCATGTCTTTGTTGGTTCGAATACATCTTTTCTGTCTGGAAAGCATGCATGGATTTCTCAAAAACAAAAGGCTATGGAAATGTCACTGGAGATATAATTTACTGAGGGATCAATTAAAAGGATAGGACCATACATGGTTTCGTAATACTTAATTTATGTTGAATGGCAGAGTTAGGTAGGATCTGAGAGGGTGGGACGGGAAGGATAGTATTTGAATAACAAGAGAATGAGTTTGTTCAACATATGCAAGTTAAGTGTCTTCTATATGGCGCATGACTATCATGAGGAATGAGAAACATCAGTTAGTGTCCGGCCATTTTTGTTACTGAGTAAAGACTTTGCGTGCCTTGGACGCTTCATCAATTCCTGGTCAGTTTGGTTGGGGTACCAATTTTAAAGTAGCTCCAATAATGCTTGATTAAATACAAGTATCTTGCTTTTGAGATTTCAATTGGGTACGCATTATGATAACATTTATGGTAAAAGGCCCAAGACATATTTTTCAGCGTTTAACGGGACAATCAGTGCTTGTTTTTCCAAAGACTTGAACTCTGCCATCATAATTCATAAATCTTGAAGAACATGGAAAATTTTAAAATTCATATTTATCTAATAATATTTTGTGTCTATAAAATTTATGTATTGTAAATAAAATAAGCGTGTATCCATAGGAAGGGGAAGAAACAATGCACACATAGAGAACAAAACTTAGCCAAGAGCTTATAGCTCAATTGGCACAATCCCTACTTCTTACGGGGTCTTGGGTAAAATCACCAAGTAGTCCGGGGGAAATATCGTTAAATATGTATGTTTGAGTTGTTGTGAGTAGTGTGGGCGTGTGTCTGGTTACTTGTGTGTGGACCCCCTTCTCTATAGAGAAGGGTTAGCCGAGATAGTAAGAAAAAAAATAAAGAAAATAATAGAATTAAAAAAAAAAGCCATAACTTAAAACTCAATAATCCATTTATGATTTTCATTTCTGTAATTTCATTGACAAAAAGCAAGTTTGCCGCATATTTTCTTTAAAATGTGTGTTTTTTATTTTAAATTTTAATTTTTTTTCCTCTCAACTTTAATTTTTGCTTATGATATTCAAAAGGGATTTAATAGAAGTTTGATTGTTTATAATTTATAAGACGTATTTCAAAACTTCATCTCAAATTATACAATTACCCTCAAAATAAATTCTGTTGTATTTATTATTATACTCATTTTTGTGTAAATTATTATATGATATTTAGATGAATTATCTATATGAAAAAATGACAATAAAACCTCTTAAATTATATAAATAAAAATATGATTTCTCAAAATATTATAATTTCACAGAAGTTCTTATTAATAAATTTTAAATTGAAAAGATCATTTTACCCTTATTAATAAATTGTGATTTCTTATTTAATTATTACGATTCTTTGAATAAAAGTTGTTATTCTTTAAATAAAAATTATGATTGAAACTTGTTATTTTAAAAAATTATTTTTCAATAACATAAATTACACTTAATAAATTATAATTTCTTATTCAACTTTTGTGATTTATAGAATAAAAGTTATTATTTCTTAAAAAAAAGTTATGATTGAGGCTTGTTTTTCAGTAATAAAAAATATACTTGATAAATTATGATTTTTTGTATAATTTTTGTGATTTACAAAATAAAAATTATTATTCATTAAATAAAAATTGTGATTGAATCTTATTATTTTTTATAAGGATAAAACAATATTTTCACTTAAAAATTTATTAATACAAATTTTTTTAAAAATTTTAGTAAAGTTATAACATTTTAAAATATCAGATTATAGGTGAAATTTTATAAATAAAACTATTTAGACGAATCAGATTTTAGTGTCATCTTTCTTTCTTAATATATACAAATATTTTAATGAATTAGGTTAGCCGCATGGCCAACCAGCCCAACCCGATATCTGGCCCGACCTAATTTTTTGGCCTGAAAAATACTTACACAGACGACTCGTGTCAAGTCAAGGAGCCCACAAAGAAAGACAAAGGTCCGTGAGCGGACTAGCTGTGGGCTGTTCTTGTCAACGGCTAGTGTTTTGCACTCCCTGAAGAGTCTCGAGTTGCACTCACAATGATTTGACGAGAGATCCACGAGATTTTACTCAATAGACAAAGTCAATGTGATGCCAAACCAAAAGGCACAAGTCTTTCAACGTGGTTGCAGTACAAGTATGTTCATACAGACAGCAGAAATTTATACACAAGTCGTAATTTTTATATCATCGCGGAGGAGTAAGATCTTCTATATTATTAGTTTCGAAGAAGAATACATAAAAGGTTAGGTCCGTGGAAGATCATCTTGGGCATCATCTTTAGCTAAAAAGCGATGCCAGAGCCAGTGTTTTCTCCATATCGCATGCATGGATTCGAGAGGAATTCCTTTGGTCTCTGGCAAACAAAGTACAATAAAGACCGTCATCACGGCAATCCAACCCCCATAGAACAAGAAAGCACCATACTTAAAGCGACACAACATGGTCAAAAATGTCTGTGACAACACGAATACGGTCAAGAAGTTCACAGCAATGCTTATGCTTTGTCCGGTGCTTCTAATCTTCAAGGGGAAAATTTCGCTCGGAATGAGCCAGCTCAGAGGCCCCCATGACCACCCAAATCCAGCAGCATACAAGCACAACAGCACTAGTACTAATGTTGCATTGCTCTTTGATATATGCTGTGTGCTTCTCGAAAGTGCTAGCACCACAGTCACCGCAATCTTCACAACACAAATGATTCATTAGCAATAATATTACGACTCAGTAAAACTCTTCAAAGGAAAAAGTACATACCTGACAAACAAGCATTTGAATGCCCCCGATGATGAACAAGAATCTTCGTCCAAATCTATCTACCACAGCAGTGGACACCAATATAGATGCAAGGTTGACCACTCCAAGTATCATGGTTGAAAGCAGAGCAGCGTCGTTTCCAAAACCCACAGACTGAAAGAGGTTCGGTGAATAGAAGGCAACAATATTAATGCCAGTGAGTTGCTGGAAGAATGGGATGGCGATTGCCAAGACCAGGTGAGGCCGATATTGTCTCTCAAATATGGTGGTGAAGGGTTCCTGCTGGAGAGCTTTTGACTTTTCAGTCCTTTTGACCAGGTCATCCAGCTCAGGCTCCACGTCAGCAGCAGACCCTCTGACTTTGCGTAGGGCAATTCTGGCTTGATCTATCTTGCCACGCTGGACTAAGCTACTAGGAGTGTCAGTAATCAAGAAAGCACCAGTGGTCATTATGACAGCCGGTGCCACGGCGAGGCCAAGGGAGAGACGCCACCCCCATGAGCGTTTGGAAGTGACGTAGTTGATGCAGTTAGCAGCAACCACTCCAATACCTATGAAGAATTGAAATCCTGTGTTGAACGCACCTCGCCATTTTGGCGGAGCTATCTCCGATAGGTAAACTGGCGCTGCCTTTATTTATTCGCATATCAGATCCCAAAGGCATCAGGACAATTAGTCAGTAGATTTATAGTCTAATAAATGGATCCTTGAGCTTTAGCCCAGTGCTATGTAAACTTACTTGGTTGGTGAAACCGACTCCGAGACCGAGCAAGATCCGACCCAAGATGAGCATAGCAATATTTTCGGCACCTCCGTTAATGGCACCGCCGACGAGGAAGGAGCAGCCACCCAAGATCATGGTGTTTCTTCGACCCAGCGTGGCTGTCACTCGACTAGCTGCTAAAGATGACACCAATCCTGCTAAGTACAATGACGACGTGAATAACGTCAGTACTTGACTGTCATACACACAGTACACGTCTGTTTCTGTGCTGGCGGCTTTCTTCTGTATGGCTGGAAAGAACTTCTCAAGAAATGGTGTCATCGTAGTCACGCCACCTGGGATTCATTTTTACAGATTTTCCAAGCAAAAAGTAAGCTAAAGTTAACAAATTTGTCAGCAGGACAAGAATATATCTACTCTGGTCTTCCTTCCAAGAGCTCTTATAATAGAATTGATAGTATTAACTCTCATGCTTTAACTGTTGAATTTGCCTTAAAAGGTTATATAAAAAAAAATTCAATAAATCTCGAGGGCACGGGTGTCACATTTATCCCATTGACACGAGAAACTTCCTTTGTTACGTTGCCTTGAGCTTGGGGTAGATCAACTTTTAACTTCAGCTGACAGGACACGGGTAGAAAAAAGCAGCTATTGTAAAACTGATCTACTGATAATTAAAACGCAGTGGTTGGCTTAAAAATAATAAATTAATAGTTAGGAAAGAAAAGCAGAGTCTCTGGTTTTTCAGAGCTTCTACCAGGGGAAAGATCTTGTTTAATTATTAAAAAAACAGAGAAATCAAATAAGATTGCAGACAAGGCAGTAGGGTATGAGTCTATAATCAGATATGCTGTGTTAGAGAGAGAAATGAAAGGCGGGAGGGGGGAAAACCTGAAATTCCGACGTCATATCCAAAAATGAGGCCACTGGATGCCGCAACGATGCAAGTGATGAGGACGGAGAGAGTAATCTTGCCGTCGAAAGAGTCGGAAGGAGCGTCAACGGCGAAACCTCCGACAGCCATGGTGGAGTTTGGAGGCTCTTCTCCCAGAGTGGTCAGTGGATCTCTTGTTTTATTGCCCTGCCCCCACACATGGTAGCTACTCGTTATTTATAGGCTCTGAGGCCTGGGAGTTGCCTTTTTAATTTGCATTTGCTCTATGTGTCTGTAATATTCCACCTATGCATAATAGTCTATCACTGCTCTACTAGCTATCGAAAACAAAACTTTCTTTGCCCGTCCAAAAGACAAAACATGACCACTTTCTTTTATATTTTACCAAAAACAAAAAAAGAAAAAATCATTCTCAATCCCCTACAATCTGCATTTCATTCTTAATTCGTTCATCACCTCTTCAATTTACTTTGCAAATAAGCGGTTAAGCGAAAAGGTAGGTTTGAGCTTAGCCATTAAAAGATTTTTGGAACGTCAGTAACTGAAAATGTTATTTTACAGAGGTTTGTCATGGCTACCGAGCAAAATAATTAATTAAATTTATGAGGTTTAAATATATAAACTAGTTAATATAACGTGAAAAATTATTCTGCAAACATTACCACTTACCAATTTCTTTTTTATTTGAACCATTTACTGATCTCTCTTTTAACTAATTTAGCGTTAGCATATAGATATCTTTCATTTAACTTTAAAAATTTATATATGGATGTATGTATGTGACTTAGCCATGCGATCATCCACTACATATGTATATGGCTCCTCTTTTTCCTTTTGCTTGGGCGTGTCACTTTCCAGGATATATAAACATTAATTAAATAGTGAAAAAGAAGTCGATCCGTTCCAGCATCATACCTACTTAGTTGAAATTATATACCAACAATATTCATTTCAATTGGACGCCGGGAAAAAATTCAAGCACGTACGTAAAGGTGACGTTGTGAAATTAAGACGTTAGCAGATATTGTTGTTGTCCATGAGCCATACATGTATAACGCAGTATTGAATTTATACATACATGTAAATTGTATCTATAAGGTTGTAAATAGATAACTGACTAGATAATACAGCGGCCAAAAAATCATTCTACAAAATTGCTATTTAATACTTTTTCTTTCAACTTTAACTCCTTGCTCCGTACACATTTCTGTTATCCTGGCGTTTTTAATTTTAGTGTGTGTGTGTGTGTGTGCGCATCTAGCCATGCATCTCACTTACTTATCGATGCTTCTCTTTTCCCTTCACAGTGCATGTCACTTTCCAGTATATATAAATAACAAACAAAAGAAGTCTGCTTCAAAGTTGTATAATTACCTATACGTAGCAGAAATTATCGCTGAATTTGAAAGCCGAAGCTATCATCTAGACGGGGCGGTCTCGGGATTCAATTAACAATAAAACTTTATCAATTAAAGGCATAGCTAATTAAGTATTATTCGACAAAGCGATCGAAAATGAGAAACAAGCACTGTAGTACAGAGGAAATTATTTCGGTTTTTGATCAACTATCGCTTGCGTCCAGTCTTTTTAAAATATCTAAGAGGTTTTTTCTCATCATATCAATGCCTGATCTCTCATAACTTAATTAACCAAGTATAATGATCTCTTATATCTAAGATTTTTATTTTCTATCACAGAATCACGTAATTATTATCCCACAGTGCATATAGCCTCGCTTGTCTAGAGATATAAGTCAATTGACACGAAATAATCACAAAGTCAGATTTGTATCCTACGTGAGAAAATGTCTACCTTAAATTTTAGGCTAAAATGCACATAAAACCTTTTTGAACTTTAAAACAGTTATATATGATACTCCTCACCTTTCAAATTTAAAATTAATGAACTTCCTAACCTATAATTTTATTTTTCAAAACCCTTACTATTAATTAATTATTATTTTGTTAATATAGTTATTGCCATGTTAGATTAATACCATATACATGCCACATGACAAAAAAAAATATTTTTATTATTTTTAACACAATTTTAGAAGGGGCAATACATGATGATGTTTCCATTTTTTAACTGTGACATTGTTCTCATTTTTGTGAGAAAAATTATAATACTATTATTCTTTATTAATTAAAACAACTTTTCATATTAAAAAATAAAAAAATATCTAAAAGCTATCGTTGATAGGAATCACATAAATAAAAATTTACCCTTTAACAAAAGGAAACTATGATATTTTACCAATTGTTTTTAATTACAAAACCAATACAAGTTACCAATAGCAGAAAAATATTTTATTCTACAGCAACACACATTCCATTTACAACATAATAGTAACATTTTTTTTGTTTGAATAAATATTGAAAACTTCTTCATTCAGAGGAAAAAATAATAGCTACAAATCAATAAAAGTATCAAAAAAAATAAACAAAATAGATAATGAATTTTATATGACTCTTATCAGTGATAACTTTTATATATTTTTCTTTTTATTTGTTTAATATAAAAAGTTGTTTTAATTAATAAGTAATAATAAAATTATAATTTTTTTCCTAAATTGTAATAAGAACGGTGTCTTTTAACTAAAAAATGATAGTATCATCATGTGTATTAAAAGCAAAAATTACAATCATTAAATTATGTTAAAAAATAATAATAATATTTTTAATAAAATTACAATCATAATGATAGTATCATCATGCGTGCTACATTAATATAACACAACAATAACTATGTTAATAAAATAATAGTTAATGAATGATAGAGGATTTTGAAAAATAAAAATTAAAAGTTAGGAGGTTAATTTTAAATGTTGAAAAGTAAAATGAGTTTTTATGTAACTGTATTAAAATTAAAAAAAATTATACATTTTAACTTGAATTTTAGCATTTCTTGCGGTCAAAACTAGTAATATATCGTGCCAGCAAATTCATTTTTAAATTGGCGAGTGACATCAGCAAAGATTTTGCACATTGTCATTGTCCACGCGACGTAGAAGTTGAGACTATTCATGCTGATGTGTAGGCACGTGGATCTACACATGTGTGGGTGTGAATATTAGAGCATGTATTGAATATTGAATTTGTTGTTCATGTTGTTGACTATGATACGTTATTACTGTAGCTACCCTTGACTATATATGGTCCGTCAGCAACAAATAATAATTCCGTGCATGTGCGACTTTAAATGGAAATTTTCCAAGACACGAATATTATATTATTAGGAGACTTTATATACGTTGATTAACGTGGCCTTATTTCTTAGTTTGATGGATGAACTAGAACGGTATAAATTTGTATATTCGTTGCTCAGTTTCGATACCACATGTATAGTCACCTTGCTGCAGATAAAACAAAGAATTGTAAGAAACTGTGGAGTTATTAAACCACATCGTGCTATGATCTTACCAAAAGATCGAGAAAGATATAAAGAATTGGATTTAAATTCTTTAAAATTAAAATTCATCAATTTTTATGTGGACTTTTTTTTAAATTATTTTTTATTTTATTAGTTTTTATAAAATATTCATTTTTTTTAAAAAAGATAAAATTTGTGAAATTCATGGAATCTTTAGCTTTTGAGAGGGGATTTGGGTTCCCCCCTAAACCCATGCTTTAGTATTGTATAGTTGATTATAGAACCTATCCAAACAGGTGAATTAGCTCAACGCGTGTTTCGATTAGAATAAATGAGGCATGTGTGTGGTGTGCGCAGCTGGCTAGCGAGGGAGGAGCAGACAATCATAATTGCACGTGTCCAAGCCTTTCCTTCTCTTCAACTCTGCGTAGCATGACTACTCCTTTCAATTTAAATTATAAAATAATTTAAAATAAAATTATATATGTTAATAAAGCATAATAAGGATATTTTATAAATTTATTTTTAAAAATAAAATTATAAACTTTTAAAAATACATTTGTATACTGAATAATTATGTTATAATATTATTTTTATTTATTATTGAAAAAGAATCAGTAATAAAATATTATTTTTCTCATATTATTTTATATTTTAAGATAATAATTTGTTTAAGATTGTCCTATAACATGAGCCGGACGGAGTAAATTAAAGCAATGTCATTTTATATTTTATCCTGATTTTAATTACCAAGTTCAAGTGCAAAGAAAGTTACACCGAGAGCTAAAAATTCAGGTCAAGTTGGCCCGAATATGTTAGAAAAAATTCAAATCAAGTTAGATCAGGTTTGGGGTTTGGCCTGAATACACGAATAAAAAAATTTATTTTTAAAAATATATAAAATATAATAAATATTAATTAATTATTTAAGTTTTGAGTCATTTTATACTAAAATACTATACATTTGAGTCCTATACATCATTTAAGTATCAAAAAAATATATTTTATATTTTTTATAAAATAAAATAATTACTTTTAAAGTAAAAAATTAATTCAAAATAATTTTAAAAATAAATTTTAAGTATTTAAATCGGATTTAACTATTTAAATTTTTTAAAAAATTGAGCTTGTTGTGATTCGAGCCTATTTAAATCGAACATATTTGATCCCGAATAGGCTCAGCCATTTTAATTCCCAGCTCTAGCTGTGCCCGTGGTGCAGTTTACTTTATTTATGCACAATGTCATGATGAGCAACCGAACCTCTTGACTAATTCATATCCCCTACTATCTTACTTATAAATTATTTTTATTAATTTTATTAATATAAATGTAAAAAAAATACAAAAATAAAACATAAATTTTAAATAAAAAGTAAAAAGTAAACAAAATATATAATATTATTTTTTTATCTCTCTACTACTTTTTAAAAATAATATGAAAATTTTAATTTAAAATAAAATAATTTCATGTATAATAACTTATAAAGCATGTCAGATTGTACTTTTATAACATGCCTAATATACATGACCGGAGGAAATATTAATTAATAATCAACGCATAGAATATAACATTTATTTAGTTAAGGAAAGAAAAATTAGCTGGTTGAAAATATGCAGTCGGAAAAATAATGAATTTTGAAGTCCTTTGCAAATGAGGGCAACTCAATTATGTCGAAGACAATTAAGAATGATGCCATAAGCAGGTAGAGAAATCAGCGACTTGATGTTTGAAAAACAAATAAGTAACAAATGGTTTTTGGGGGGATGAATGCAATGGCAAACGCGTGTGAAGAATTTGATCCGATGAGTGCCAACGTAGTGCGCATTGGTAATTATTATTCAATGACAGTAATCAAATAAACAGGGATTCAGTTATGAATCCACCAATATGGCTAGTAAATCTGTGGAAATTTTAATTTTGCATGTCAATTTCAGTTATATATGA